TACAAATATTTTTCCGATGTGTTTTGGATATTCCTTCTCTAATAAAAAGAGATACCATTTTGTTTTCGGTTGTACAAGAAAGAAGATCAAGCATTTTTCTTTTTTAAATTTAATAAGCCACATTAAAGAAGGAACGTTGCAATGCTACACGCTACATTAACGACGTCTCCAGAGTAACTGAATGACGGTTCATATAGAAATCGCAGGTAAGCGTCTCATACAACAACGCCCCCTATAGTTCGTTGCGATCGCGAATTGACATTTGCATTCTGCTGTCTAGAAAGGAACAGTCGGGATTTTCTTTTTATTGTCAAGAAAATGTTTGCACTAAAAACATTTCATCCATAAAGCAAAAATATCGCAATTTCAAACCTTTCACCCAAAAAATATAAAAAATTATTTTTAACAACAAAATACCGTCACAGAGGTTAAAAAACGAAGCGAATGGTTAACCTTGTTTTAGCATTTTTGTCATAGTTTTCATTATAAGATAAATAGAAAGACCAAGCTAAAAGCTTTTCCGAAGAAACGAAATAATACAAATATAAACCTTTTCCGCAAAAATTTTAAAAAACAATAAAAAAAATCTTATGCAAAAAAACCTCATTCAAGGGAAAGCAAATAAACGAACGTAACACCAAATATTTTATTGTTTTCCATGGTCCTGCGAAACTATTAAACAAAAACCTTATTTTAAGGTTTTGTTACCTTATTTTAAATTTTCCGGTATTCACCGATTGGATTTAAAAAGTTTGGAATATATTTCTTGTTGGTAAGCATTTTATACAGGATACAATTCGAATTACTTGTTTATGATAATGGACACACATCAAAAAGTGTTCTTAAGAAAATGGACATAGCATTTTATCTCTTATGAAAATTGTTCTTTTTCTAAAGAATAAACTTATGAATACTTATATGTGATATCGTCCGTTTTCTTAAATCACCAAGCACATTTTAAAATTTTTTTTAAAACTTTGTATATTAGCAGTAGTTTTGCAATGCTGTTATGGATTCAATAAATTCATAATATTGGTATTAAAATTTTCGTTGTAAAAATTTAGATTTTTAAACTCCGTTTTACCGTTTAGTGTTCTGACTCCAAAGACTTAAAATATGGTAATTAATAAGTACAGGGACGATATTTTAAGTTACGAAATCAGACACTGAAATGTACTTTCGCTGAATAAACATGCCGTTTTTTCGACTGATATGGATTTCTGTATTCCAAAATATGGGAGGTAGCTGCAATCTAAGAAGTAACTCGAGAGCTTTTTAAGCGAATGAGGAAAAAAACCTCACTCAATTGTAAAGATCGCTTATAATTGTGTAAGTTGTTAAAAAATAACTTTTAGTAAATATTTATTATTTTATTTAATAATAGTCTTTAAACAATTTAATTATGAGGTATATATTTTTTACATCGTTTTAAAAGAAGGCAAATTAACAAGGAAAAATACAACATTTTTGCGAAATTGATCGAATAATCCTAAAAAATCAAATTTTATATATCAGACGATTTCTCAGTAGGAAACTTCGAATTTCTGAGAAATTCGATTTCTCCGAAATCCGAGCTCCGTATTCGAACTATATGAATTTAGACCAACCTGTATAACAGGTTTCCTTAAAAAAAAAAATTCTGAAACTAATCAAAATTAATTAGTTTTAAAAACTGTTTTTACGGAAAAAGAGAAATTTAAATCATTGGAATATTTGAGGAAAAGAGGGCTTTTTGTATCTTTATGAAAATACATTATAAGAATAAGTATACTGCATAATTAAAAGATCTCTAATTTTTCAATACATAAGATGTTTATAGTTTTTTTTTAATATTCTTAAAATAAAGATAATTATTTAATGAAAAAAAATTATTATGATTGTTACTTTATTGATAACTTTTTCTTCGAGTTACTAAACTGTTGTAATATTTGGTTTTAAACTACATATTATATCCTTAATATTATTTTGTTATCATTGTACTTTGATTAAAGGAAAGAAATATCATATATAAATGAAAGACACTTTATGAACCCTTACAGTAAAAAAATTTTTTTCAAGTAATATGATATGGAGTGGTATAAATGTAAGGTAAGTGATATGTATTGTAAAAGAAATATACAACTAAAAATAAACAGTAATTATTTAATCTATTTTTGAAAAAAAAAAGAGTTAGAAATTGATAATCTGAAGTAAAAGAGAAGATATAGGGGAAAGATTACAAAATTTTGCGCCCTCGATGCTATGGAAGCATATTCCATTACTCGAAGAAAGTTTGATAAATATTAAATAAATGTAATTTAAAAATTTGAAACAAACATGTCGCATTAATTTTTACAAACATGTCAAATTAATTTTTTTTCCTATTTGTAAGTAGAAGGATTATTGAAACTTACACTTAAAGCATTAAAATATAATAAAAATTTTGAGTGAATAATACTTCTGTGACTTGGAGTACAAAAAAGCAAATCCAACAACTGACGATATGTTCCTTAATCTAACCATTGAAAAGAAATAGAAACAAAATCGAACTTTTACGAGTGGTTAAACTCAAAATCTATCGATTAATGAATAGAAAGAAAAACATTTCTTGGTTGTTGGAGACTATTTGCTGGACGTAATGAATGTCACCTTATACACACAAAATTATTTACTTATCGCAATTATTTTTCAGGAAACTTAAAAAACTATGTTCCCACTAACATTTGAAATTTTAACATTCGTTGCTTTTTTTAATTACATATTAATTATAATAATAATTAAGGAGTATTTAATCATGCAATGTATAATTATTAATTCAAAAAATCAATGTGCATATTTTTACAATTTTCTGTTTAAGTAGCAGTTTAACAAAATAAGGTATATCGAGCATTTTCCTGATATAGCACAATTTTTTTTAATTGTGCTAATGTTGCAAAACAATATTAACAACTTTTTAAGCAAATTTTTTCAACATTATCCTTTTTAAAAGGGCGACTTTCTTAAAGTTAGCTGGCAAGAATAACTTTGAACGTCAAAATAAAATTGTATGCTCTTAATTTTTGTTCATTTAAAAAACAAAACAAACTGCTGTATATTTTGCCGTGAACACATACATATTTACTTCTCATTACTCAAATAAATACGAAACAATAAAAAAAAACAATCAATAATTTATCTTCATTTTTCGAAAAAAAAAGTATGCTTATAGTAAATAGTCAGCTGTTCTGCATCGAGTAATTCTGATCAGCATGTTATTTCTAATTTCTTAACAAGATTTAATTCTCAGCTAGTTGGCAATAATTCTAAGTTTTCTTTCAATAAAAACTTGACAATAATTTAAAAAAGAATTTTACATTAAAGGAAAACATAAATTAAAGTACTAAAACAATTGATTAGCATATTGATGGAAAAATAATATACGTGGTAGCGTAAAGAATGAGGTTTTGAGAAATGTTAAAATTTAATTCAATAGTTGGTAAAATAATTCTACGAAACACGCGCGGACTGGTAATTAACAAATTTATTTTAAGATTAAGATTATATATTAGATGTTGAGAAATTTGAAGATGCTAAAAATGTTGACTACGTATTCGAATTAATAATTATAAGACATATATTGAAGAAATTGATAAACATATTACTCCAAATCTACGCACACTTTTGTATATTATTGAAATTGTATTAATTATTGAAAGAACAAACTAAGAAATTAAATTAAAAAAAGACTATGTATAATCGTATTCTATCAGAAACATGCCTTATGAGAATTCAACATTCGTCGAAAAAAACGTTTTTATTCAATAAAATGTTTTATTAAAATCGCTTTAAATTACAAATAAATTTTTAGACGACTAAAAAAGAAACATCGTATTTTATAATAAAAAAAAACGGCTGAGCAATCGGTTATTAGCGAAAGAAGTATGAATGAAATTTTATTCTACGGGAGCGTAAGTCAAGTTCCTCGTAAGTTAACCACATTTAAATATTAATCGCCCCATTTAAATATTTCTTCATTGTCGCAAAATTTCTTTTTTTTAA